TTTTGGACCCGCCGGACAGCTGATTGCAACCATTTTCACGCCCTCATTCAGCGAGGGGAGGGCGCGAAAATGGCTGCCAGCCGCCTGGAAGCATCGTTATGCAATGAAGTACCTCTTCATTCTATCAGTCCCCGAAGCGTGAAGGAGCCTTCTGTACATCCACATTTCAAATCAGTTATTCTGCTAAGCACCTGCTTCTTGATAGACCAAACCTCACATCCATATAGGAGGGCTGACAGCATGTAACACTTTAAAATCCTCAGTATCAAAGGTATGTCAAGGTCTTTATTATGCAACATTTTCTTCAACTTCATAAAAGTTATTCTGTTTCCATTATTTATATTATGTCCATATTGAAGTCTATGTAATTGTTAACTAAGCATCCCAGACACATGGATTTGGCTACTTGGGCTAAAAATGGGTATAGGGTATATACCCATTACAAGTGGTGCCTCGCAGAACGATCACTCCGTCGAGTGACGAATCCGCGTTATGGTGCCGTTTTTGCGATTGCAAAACGGCACCTAGATAGGGCACAATTCACAGAGCGAAGGTCGGTAAGTGGTCCAAAATGGCCGCCGCGCAACCCAAAATGGCCTCGCGCAGCGTTTTCGCGCCCTTGGTAAGCGAGGGGAAGCGCGAAAACGCTGCCAGAACAGCCGAAATGGCTGCGCGCAGCGTTTCTGCGCCCTCCCCTCGCTTACCAAGGGCGCAAAAACGCTACGCGCAGCCATTTTTGGGTTGCGCGGCCATTTTGGACCCGCCGGACAGCTGATTGCAACCATTTTCACGCCCTCATTCAGCGAGGGGAGGGCGCGAAAATGGCTGCCAGCCGCCTGGAAGCATCGTTGAACGGTGAGTATTCAGCCCAATTGGAACACATTTAACACTGTTTAATGCGTTCCAATTAGTTTTCTTGCCCCGTTCAACGATGCTTTCACACAGCGAGGGTTAATCCGGAACGGATTAACCTCGCTGAGCGAGGCACCACTGTATATACCCTATGGTATATAATGGGTATATAATATTTTATATTATCCTCGTTTATTGCCTCTAATTCTGGGGATTTAGGGCACCGATTGACAGTTCCATAGCAAACAGCATGGAAGATGTATATTTTAGGACACTGGTTCTTAACCTTGGGTTTATACCCTATGGTATATAATGGGTATACAATATTTTATATTATCCTCGGGTATTGCCTCTAATCCTGGGGATTTAGGGCACCGATTGACAGTTCCATAGCAAAGAGCATGGAAGATGTATATTTTAGGATAACACATATGTAAATGCAGAGCAAAAATATGTTTACAAATGGGTACGTTGTGAAGCCCATTTTAAAAAAAGATAAGATTAAGTACAGTATAGTTTTGAATGTAATAAATTTGTATGGCTTTTTAAAAGGATTAATGCAGAAATGGGACTCATGACCAAATGCATGTAAAACAGAGAGTGACCTGCAATAAACTGGTCCATCTATTGTTGTAGGTGACCCTCTTTTAAACCTTTAATGCAAAGCTTGGAAAAGTTACTTTTTTTGTACTACAACTCTCAAAATCCTACAGCCACCTGCTGGCCACACCGCCTGGGGAATATCCCAGCCAGTTATTGGTCATGCTGACTGCAGCATTACGGGAGTTGTAGTCCAAAAGCAAGAGTTATGCTGGTGTCCAAAAGGCGACCTTCCCAATCTCTGATAATAAAATACAGGCCCCTTTGAGCTATAAAGAATTGTTTGAGTCTGATGGCATAACCTTACAAACAGTGGTGTGCATTTTCTCCTGTATCAGAAATTTCTATTTTCTTTTATCCAAAAAAAAAAAAAAAAAAAAAAATTCATTTCCTATGCATGTAAATTTACCATGAATTAGTCTGTGAAGTAGGACACAAGGCAGAGAAATGTCTTTTGCCAAAGGAACAAGTCACCCCTGTACAGTTTGGAGCCAAATCCATCATTGATGGTTGCCAACATCTCTTTACCTTCCTTCTGCATTTCCTAAGACACCCTGTAGCAAAAGTGAATCAACCAACGTTTTCTGAAACACGCCGGAAGAAGAGGAAGAAAAAATCAAAATTGTTTGAGATGAAAATGATGGAGTCAAAGGAAGCTGGGAAAATCCATTTCTTCCTGCTGTTTGACGACTTCCCATTTCAAACAGGAAGGAATTTTCTAATTTTGGAAATTTTTTCAAAAATGAACTGAGATGAAATTGTCACTTATAGGTGATGGACAATCTATCTCCACAATGCCCCTTCTCTCCCTCTCCCCAGGTTTGGGTTATTTGCTAGATGCATTGGTGCTCCATTTTGAACCTTCTGAAGTCAATGGGCTTTGAAATATTACAATACAAGATGACGGACTCATATTAATGTTTGTGGTTATGCAATCTGGTCCTCAGACACCCTGGCTTTCAACTCACAGAGGCGTCCTTCCAGAACCCCAGCTTGATTTTGAAAACTGAATGTTGTTAGGATCTTTGCATTTCAAAAGAAAAGTTCTTTTAAAAAAATCAGTGTGAAATTAGAGAGAACAATATTCCTAAGAATGTTCACTTGCGCAAGGAAAGGGGGATTCAGACATGCTTAGAACAAAATTGTTGGAATCAATCCAGCTTGTTATGACTAGATTAAGTCTGATTGATTTCATAGGGTCTTCTTTAAGCATGACTATGTTTAGACATTGCCCGCAGAGATTTTTCATCTTGTAGGAGGAAAAATAAGCTATGGAAGAAATCGCCCTCAAACTACAGGCATCTCTACTAATGAAGAGCTGAGTGACAAAGGAAGCAGAGACAGTGACTCAAATGTGGAAATTGTCTCCCTTCGCAGCTGCGTACAAATGCCATGCATTATTCCAAATATCAAAGTAAAATCGCTCACCAGCAGACTTCCATTCAAGCCTGTGATTGCTTTAAATTTCATTTTAAGAGTTCAAAGAAGAGGTAATGTTCTTCCTCTATCTCCTATCCTTTCCTTCACTCCCTAGAGGCAGTTCACAATTGTCCCTGCTGAGTCTGAGGTTTAGACACCATACGAATATTAGAAATGGCAAGATTGTACAATAGTCAGGTAGCTGAAGCATGGCTTCTACAATTTCAGATCAGCACGTTTCAAACAATCATGGAAATAGCATGTTCTGAAGTTTCAAAAATGTAACACCTTAGCATTTGTATTTATGGTAGAAGAAATGGGAAAGACAAACGCAGATCAAATTAATATCGAGGATGCTGTGTAGGCATGTGATGACTGGCTGATGGCTGGGGAGAAGGACTGACAACCCAGGGGGCAGGGAAATAGAAGGGAATAACTGGTTCTTAGTGTTTCCTGAGAAATCTGTACATGGGACAGGAAGCAACAGTTAGAACTGGTTATGGAACAACTGATTGGTTCAAAATGGGGAAAGGAGTACAACAAGGCTGTATATTGTCCCCCTGCTTATTTAACTTATATGCAGAATACATCATGCGGAAGGCTGGACTGGAGGAATCCTAAACCGGAATGAAGATTGCCGGAAGAAATATCAACAGCCTCCGATATGCAGATGATACCACTCTGATGGCAGAAAGTGAGGAGGAGTTAAAGAACCTTTTAATGAGGCCACTGATCCCATCACCACCTGGCAAATCGAAGGGAAAGATATGGAGGCAGTGACAGATTTTACTTTCTTGGGCTCCATAATCACTGCAGATGGGGACAGCAGCCACAAAATTAAAAGACGCCTGCTTCTTGGGAGGAAAGCGATGACAAACCTTGACAACATCCTAAAAAGCAGAGACATCACCTTGCTGACAAAGGTCCGCATAGTCAAAGCTATGGTTTTTCCTGTAGTGATGTATGGAACTGAGAGCTGGACCATGAAGAAGGCTGACTGCCGAAGAATTTATGCTTTTGAATTGTGGTGCTGGAGGCGACTTTCTGGAGTCCCCTGGACTGCAAGGAGATCAAACCTATCCATTCTAAAGGAAATCTACCCTGAGTGCTCACTGGAAGGACCGATTCTGCAGCTGAGGCTCCAGTACTTTGGCCATCTCATGAGAAGAGAAGATTCCCTGGAAAAGACCCTGATGTTGGGAAAGTGTGAGGGTAAGAGGAGAAGGGGACGACAGAGGACGAGATGGTTGGACAGTGTCATCGAAGCGACCAACATGAATTTGACCGAACTCCAGGAGGCAGTGGAAGACAGGAGGGCCTGGCGTGCTCTGATCCATGGGGCCATGAAGAATTAGACATGGCTTAATGACTAAACAACAAAAAGTGTGACAGATAATTTGACTTCTGCGACTGTTTTACTGCTAATCTAATCTAATCTAACCTAATCTGTTATTGGATAATGAAATATAAGATGGCATTAAATACTGAAGAACTAATAACAGTAATAATGCAAATAGCTAGGATCTCTTAACCCAGTCTGTGCACACAACTTCCCAGTGCAAACACTGTTGAGTTTTACCTGGGCTTGTGTCCTTGCACAACTTTAATCTGCTTGTTGCAACACAGGAAATGCCTTAAGAAGGCTTTCCTTCTTCAGTTTACTAATTCCCTCATTTTATTTTGTCAACCATAGAGCTTGTTAAATGGCAAAAAATAAATACAGTAAAGTAAGTAAGTAAACAAGGGCTCTGTCTGAATAGAAGTTGTTAAAAAATTTTTAAAAAGTGTCTTGAGAGAGAAACATTGCACAGAGAAGTGAGTGCTGGCACCCTGTGTATGCGCACAGGATTCTTTAATTTTTTAAATAGAGCATAAGGTTCTCTAGTGGGGAATAAAACCAATGGATTCGGACCTGTGGGACATGGGGTTGATTTGCATTTCCTAATATGTCATCTGAATGCAAACGAGCTGGCCCCAAAGCCATTCTCTTTCCCACATTTCCCCTCATGTAGTCAGGCTCTAAGAAACAATGCAATCATTTTCTCTGTTTCAGGATCTTAATACTCAAGTCTTCAAAGATTATATATCACAAATTTCACCATAAACCTTTATGTTTCCAAAATACATACCAGGAATTTTTTTGGCCCAACCAATCATATGGACCAGCTCTTTGTCGGCCAGTTTCGTCAAGGACATCATCATGGAAGCTTCCGTGAATGGCTTGTTGGGTCGACTCACTAGCACATTTGGTGGCTCAGCTTCAAGTAAGATGGAAACAAATTGTTCTGGAGTCAAGGCATTGACAAGGATCTCCTTCATCTGAATCATGGTTTCATTGTTCTTTTTCACTTTGCTTACACAGTGCATGGGATCGTCCGTGTTCCGATGGCGGCGTATAATACGATACCCACAACGTTCTCTTCTTGAACCTGAAATTTCAGAAAAGGTTTCAGGAATAGAGGATATCCCAACCTCAGATTATAATTAACCCATGGGTGGAAACTTTAGAGTGTCTAAGGACCTGTTTTCATCCTCAGAACCAGAGTTGCGGATGTAACATTTTGTCGCCTTAAGACTTGTCGCCTTAACCTCGCTACCGAGAAGTCGTAGGTATTATAAACTTGATCTAGCTTTGTAAGTCATTCCATGCTTTATTAACATCCCAACCTTCAATACAGGCTGGAAAAGCACAGGGAAATAATCTCTAGTTCCCTTTAGTAGCCACTTCTGATATTGTACTTGAGTCAGACTAAGGTGACATGGTAACTGGTAATTACTTGCAACCAGTTACTTCCAAGTCCTGCCCAGGACCAACCATGGGTCACATGAGCTGTACGCAAAAATGACATGTAGGTAGGTAGGTAGGTAGGTAGGTAGGTAGGTAGGTAGGTAGGTAGGTAGGTAGGTAGGTAGGTAGGTAGGTAGGTAGGTAGGTAGGTAGGTAGGTAGGTAGGTAGGTAGGTAGGTAGGTAGGTAGGTAGGTAGGTAGGTAGGTAGATAGATAGATAGATAGATAGATAGATAGATAGATAGATAGATAGATAGATAGATAGATAGATAGATAGATAGATTTTTCAAAAGCATTAAAACCTGCAAGGAGCAAGAACTTGCACAGGCTGGTGGCTGATTTTCTCTAGGCCAAGAGTGGTGAAACTTGGGCAGCCCAGATGCTTTGGATTGCAACTCCCAGAACCCCCAGCCTATATTGCCAAAAATAAAGGACTATGGGAGTTGTAGTCCAAAACATCTGGATTGCCATAGATTCCCTACTCCTGGCCTAAGCAGGCATGCAGCTTTCAAGTGACAGAATGCTAAGGTGAAAAAACCAACATACAAATGTGTTGTCAGTAAACATGATCACTCAGAAAAACTTGTTGTTGCTATCGCTGCTATGACTACTGCTACAACTCCCTCTCCCCAAAATAAGAGTTACTGGTGAAAAATAACTTTTCTGAGCACAAAGAACAAAGGCAACTGCAGGAAATTGAGGCAGGCAGATGAGATTGTGAATCAAGATTTCAGGTCGTTCCGACAGCTCATGAAGCCTGCGGTGATTTCAGGTTAGGAAGGATCAATCAATTATTTACACTTTCTACAAAATGAGCAAACAAAGGAGAGGTGACAAAACAGCTCAGCCTCTGCGTCACAAGAAGAATATTTGAATGTTCAAAAAGCTGTTGGGGGACAAGCACATCCATGAGTAGCCATTGGGTAGACCAGGGAAACTTCAAAGGGAGGCTGGAGGGAGAGATGGTGAGTTACAATCCTTTAAGCACCATCAGTATACGATCAGGGAAAATTGTAGATTTCTACATATATAATGTAAGCTGTACGTTTACACAAGCAAGCCACCAATTCCAATTAGTCTCTTTATTTCTTTAGTTGCCATCATATCTGGCCTGGAAGGCAATGTAGCTGGCTCTCTTGGGTCATTCCAGGAAAAATACTCCCCCTCAATACAGACTGGCAGGTTTTCTCATGCCAACGGAGCTACCTTTGCTTCACATGAAGATCCAGCTGCTACAAGGCAGGGTGAGGACACAGAGGGATATCTAAGCATGCAAAGGGAGATGTTACTTAATAATCATCATTCCCATCTGAGAACTGCAGAGCTAGAAGGGACCCTATGGATCATCAAGTCTTCGTCTGCTTAACAAAGCAACAGCATTTCAGCCAGTGCATCACTGAATAGTCACTTGGAAAGTCTGGTTGGTTGGTTGTTTGGTTGGTTGGTTGGTTGTTTGGTTGGTTGGTTGGCTGGCTGGCTGGCTGGCTGGCTGGCTGGCTGGCTGGCTGGCTGGCTGGTTGGTTGGTTGCATTTTTATGCCACCTTTCAGTGCATATACTCAAGGCGGCTCACAACATTGTTAAAACAAACTACAGTAACAGGACAAGATGTCCAAGACCATTTAGCTAACCTCAGAGATATAGATTCTTTGTTACATACATTGACATCCATGTGTTATATGAATTACTCCCCGAGGATTCAATTCCATTTGCTATAGCAGTTTTTCCCCAACATGGTGTCTTCGGGATTTGCTAGACTAGAGATGATGGGCATCATCCAAAACAATCAAAAGTTGGATTTGACTTCTCAGACACATAACTTGTGTGTGTGTGTGTGTGTGTGTGTTACTGCCATTTATCAACTCAGTTTAAAATAATGTTATTTGTGAACAATGGATTCCTCCCCCAACAGTACGCCATTGTTGATGGTAAGCCGCTACGCCATGTACAGTACGAGCTACGTTCATCTGCTGTTACAGCTGCTATGCTGGCTGCTATGTTGGCATGTCCAGCAAGCCTTGAATACAAGTATTAAACAAAGCATCAACTTCTCAATCTCTCTCTTCTTTCCACCAAAGAATAATAAATCATTTCGTAAAATACTATACTTGCCAGAAAATCTAGAATTGGTCTTATGGTGGACAACAAGTAGATATTTCTTGGCATATGAATGAAGCTCAGCAAGAGTTTCCATCTGAGACATTTACTTTGATTTAAAAGACACACAAGGAGAGCCCATTCCCCATTTTTCCTTCAGACTGGTTGGAATCACAGTTACCCTAAGGCAAGAAACTAGAAACCAGAAACTAAATGGGAGTGTTTTTAAAGGTGAAACTTATACATTTATAAGACACCAACACATATATTTTTGAATCTACTTCCCCCCAATGTAGCATTTTTGTATCCATTTTGAAGAGTAAAAAATATTGAAGAAATTATTTAAAATGAGACTGTGGGTTGTTTTGAGTTCACATATAGATTCGGGGTGTGTAAATTAGTCAATTTTCAGATATCGAAAAGAGATTACTTAAGAAACGGCTCTTCACAGAAGTCTTTGATGGCAACTTCACGTTAACTTGCCACTTGCCTTCCCCATCATGGTTGTTCTTCCTAGAGTTCCTGTTTTGTGAAGCTTGGGTTGATTTGTTCTTTTATTTTTATCTTTGTTATTGTTTGATTGATTGTTCTTGTATATTGAACCCATTATTTTGTGTCCTGTACTCTGGAATGGCATACCACTCTGATGGCAGAAAGTGAGGAGGAATTAAAGAACCTCTTAATGAGGGTGAAAGAGGAGAGCGCAAAAAAAATGATCTGAAGCTCAACATAAAAAAAACTAAGATCATGGCCACTAGTCCCATCACGTCCTGGGAAATAGAAGGGGAAGCTATGGAGGCAGTGACAGATTTTACTTTCCTGGGCTCCATGATCACTGCAGATGGAGACAGCAGCCACGAAATTAGAAGATGCCTGCTTCTGGGGAGGAAAGCGATGACAAACCTAGATAGCATCTTAAAAAGCAGAGACATGACCTTGCCGACAAAGGTCCGCATAATCAAAGATATGGTTTTTCCAGTAGAGATGTATGGAAGTGGGAGCTGGACCATAAAGAAAGCTGACCGTCGAAGAATTGATGCTTTTGAACTGTGGTGCTGGAGGAGACTCTTGAGAGTCCCCTGGACTGCAAGGAGAACAAACCTATCCATTTTGAAGGAAATCAACCCTGAGTGCTCACTGGAAGGACAGATCCTGAAGCTGAG